GCCTCACAGCTGGAAGAAATTGGGTGTTTAGGAAGCTTCCATACACTTCACACTTTTTTCTTCTTGTTTAGAGTAGCTGTATTCAGAAATGCCTGGTGTAGTTGTGGCTACAGGGACAAAAGTGCTTTATGGACTGAGCAAATGAGAGAACTGAGGCTTTAATAACTCTAGGTGCAGTACGGGGAAAAGGAGCACTTAAGAAGACCAAGTAGAATGAGTGATGAGTAACAGCTTGATGTTGGCTTTCAGGTGGTGTTAGATGGCAATGAGAACACAGTCAACATTGCCCCTACTGCCAGTACCCAACATCCTGAGTCTATCTTCACCCCCTCTTCTATGAGCTCCACTGAGGCAGAGATGACACAGGTAAGATTTTCTGCTTGTCAGGCCACAGGCTCAGCTGCTAATGCCTCAGTTAGCTTAGAACTTGACCTTTACTTAGCCAGTTGAGCTGCTTTCTGTCCAGCCTTGCCATTCCTGTTCACTGCCTTGCCATCTCACCAGCTCTGTGCTGTGCTGCTTTCTCTCCTTGATCTCCACCACCTCATCACACCTTTTGCCCTCTCTCTGCTTGCTTCTTCTTGCACCTACACGGAGCCATCTTCCTTGCTCCTTATTGCTTGTTCTACAGATGTTGTTTTCTTTTCTAGAAGCAGAATTTGTGTGTCATTGCACTTTCTTTAGCGAGCAAAGTTGCTTTTGCTTAACATTACTATGTTTTTGTCCTGAAGGAGCTGTCTGGTCCCAGGCAACCCAGTATGGCTTTACCCATCACTTTCACATTAACGGTGCCAGTGCCTTTTGCCAGCTCAGAGTATTAGAGCAGTACTCAGCAGAGGCCCTGAATCTTTCAGCCCCCAGTACAGGAGTTCTTTCTCAGCCCGCTGCTTCAGAAGTGGCACCCCTGCCTCTGCACACAACCGTATTTTCCTCTGTTTTCAGGTTTACCACCAGCAAGGTTCGGCCAGGCTTGATCTGGACCAGCTGCTGCAAGAGTCCTCTGGCCAAGTGCACGCTCTGGCTGGGATGTCCAGCAAGAATGAATTGCTGGTGCACAAGGTGGCTGCCCTAGAGCTGCAATTGGCAGCCTTGGAGAAGGACAGACAAGTCCTTTCAGAGCAGCTGACACAGGCCAGGTAAAGGCAGGAAGGAGACCCTAGGCAGGATGGTATTGGAGGTCTGTAATTACAGAGGTGGGAATCGTTACTTGAGGATTTATTGCATCCTGTGTGCTTTTCAGATGTTTTCACCTTCCATGGACAGAAAATGGAAGAATCTTGAGAAAAAAAAACAAACAAAAAACCAACCCCAAGCAAGGAGAACACTGTGATTTGAATGTTATTTTTCTGACAGCTAAAGCTAACAAAAGTCTGCTGAGCCTTCGGCTCATGTTTATGCCCCCTTGCACATTCCTGTGTGAAGTCCAAAGCAAGCCAATGTAATTCTTCAGTATCTGGTACCTTGGCTCTGCATTGAGGAATAACTCATCTATACAGATCTTTACTGAAACCTGAAGCTTCTTTCTGCTTTTGGTTTCTTGGTCTGTGTGTTTGAACATAGACCTTTCCTTAGTAAGTTGTTCGACAGAGGATGTTCAGAATTCAGGTCTAGAGGCTCATGCTGAAAATCTGGAGGGCAATTCTTACTGGAGTAACTTCCTGTGGGTGTCAGGAGCAAGAAACTCATTTCTCTCTGTATTCACAACTTGAAGGTCAGTGAACGAGACCCTGGAGTACAGCCTATCTGAGGCTCAGCAGCACATATTGCAGTTGGAGATCACCAGGAGCCAGCTGGAAATCCAACTTCAAACAGTCACACAGGCCAATGAATTGACAAAAGGCAAGAGCCTCATGTGCTTTGCTTCCTGTGGCCTCCATGGACAGGGGGCTTTCTGCAGTGCTTCTGAGTGAAGGAGCTGGAAAGAGTTCCCTCCTCCACTGACCTTCAAATGGCTTTAGGTTAGTAAGGCCAGAACCCCTTTGTGTAGACTCTGAATCCTGCCATTTGTTGTGTTTGCAGGGGAAGTGAAGTGCCTTAGATGGAAGCTGGAAGCTGAGAGATCTCTCGTGCAGGAGGAAAGGAAGACCATGGCAGTACAGCTCTTGCAGGCAGAACAGCAGCATAACAAGACTCTCAAGCTTTGGGAAACCGATCATGAAGTGGAAGTAAACAAGCTCCTGCAAGCCCTGGTAGGAAACAGCATGGATCTGACTTCTTCAAGCAAGCTTTGTGGGTTGGCTTTAGAAGAGTAATAACCATAGTGTGAGAACTGGCAGCAGGCCTCTCTCATAGGCCACATCTTGCTAGGCCGGGCAGCAGAGCCAATGGCTTGTACTTGAAGGCACATGAAAAGCCACAGGACTATGCTGGGACAGTAAATGCAGCCACAGATTCAGTTCAACAAAAGGTTGGGTGGTCCCCAAGGCATGGTACCAAAGAGGTGGGATCTTACCAGACTCCTGCCTACCGTGAAGAAGACTCCTAACAGTGCTGGGGACTGCAGTCAAGTAAACTTTGTTCCTTCCTTTCATTCTTTCACGGCTGACAGAGGAAGTATCCTTGGGCTTGAAGTATATGGTACAGTCCCCTTCTTCCTGGTACTTTGTTTGTGGCCATGTCTTATGTCAGCATTGCAAGGCGAAAACTAGTCCTGACTTCAAACACAAAATGACAGTCTGATGTGAGCATTATTCCTCCAAGAGGGCACAGTGGGGTTCTAGAGGCTGGAACCATGACAACCCTACATAGTAGAGATATTGGGAAAAAAAAAAAAAAAGGGCAAAAACCAAGTAGTGAAATGAAATGTCAGGCTTTTTCTCTCTTCCCTTCCTCCCTAATAGAGAGAACATCATCATGCCATGCCTAAATCGTGGTTAGTCTGCGCTTTAAGTCCTGGCTGTAGTCCTTGGTAGCTCATCCCCAAAAGAACAAAAAAGAGCTAGAAGAGGTTCAGAGAAGGAAAGAAAAGACGCTGGGCTTGGCTGAATAAGCTGGGAAAGAGAACAAGAAGGGTGGCACAGGAAGGTCTGCAGGATCCCAAGAGGCACTGACTGCCACTGGAGCAGGAGTTCAAATCTCGTACGAAAACCAAACACATACAGATGGAATTATTGCACCTTTTTCTCCCTGTTTTACAGCATGAACAGGACAGGCTGCAAGCAGCAAAGGCAAAAGCTTTGCAGGAGACTCACTTACATGATCACCATCCTGTCAGAGAGGGAGGGAGAAATGTCATGCCAGGAACAGATGAGAACGCTGGAAAAGCAGAGTGAAATGCATGAAACTGCTCCCAACCAGGTTATTAACAACCTAACAGATTAAAACCCGGAGTCACTACAAAAGCAAAACCAGGAAGCTGGAGAGGCCACGGAAATGCTGTTAAGGGCTGTCCGTGAGCATGTTGAACAGACCTTAGAAACCTTAAAAGGAAAGGACAGACTCCTAGCCATCCACAGGTAACAAACAAGGAGCTATGAGGAGAAAACAGAAGAACAGAGGAATGTCTTGCACAAAGATGTAGAATACGCTAAGGCAGTACTGAAAGAAAAGGATTTTGTGATCCAATCTCAGAAGGAAGTGATTGAGACCTTCCAAAACCAAGAACAAGACTCTGAACAGCAGAAGAAAATTCTGCAACAACTTGAAGTGGCACTAAAGGAAAAAGATCAAGAAATTGTATCCCTTAGAAAGCAATGCGAGGCATGCAGGGAAAAGGAGAAGCAGCATGGAGCTGAGCAAAAAAATCTGCAAACAACAGAACAGACTCTGAAAGAGAGAGAAAATAAGATAAGGGCTCTGGAGGAGGCTGTCTAGAAGCTTCAACAGCAAAAGGAGGAGGCAGCGGTGATGACTAAAGCCATACAGCAAAAACTACAATACATGGAGTCTTCTCTAGGTGCCTGAGAGAAAGAGATAATGTCTTTACAAGGACATGTACAGGACCTTCAAAAGCAGAAGGAGTTAGCAGGCAAACAGGCCAGGACTCTAGAGCAGGATCTTGAGAAAATGAGACAAAGACTGAAGGAGAACAATTTGGAGTTTGTCGTGGTTTAACCCACAGCCAGACAGCTTGTTACCCACTCCCCCCCCCTTCTTGCCCTCCCCCTACTCCTGGGGGAGCGGAGAGGAGAATCAAAAAGAAATGCAACTCCCACGGGTTGAGATAAGAACAGTTTAGTAACTAAGGTATAACACAAATCACTACTGCTACCACCAATAATAGTAATGATAAAGGAAATAACAAGGGAAGAGAATACAACAGCTCATCACCAGCCGACCGATAACTCGCCCCCCCCAGCCTGACCAAGCACCAACCGATACCTCCTCCAACCCTGCCGTCCACCTAGTCCTTCCGGCTAACTCCCAGTTACCTCCTGTGCATGACGTGCTGTGGTATGGAATACCTCTTTGGTCAGTTTGGGTCAGGTGTCCTGTCTCTGCTTCCTCCCGGCTCCCCTCCTCCCTGGCAGAGCATGAGGCCCACAAAGTCCTTGGCCAAACCAAAACATCAGTGTTTTTCAGCTCTGTTCCCAGCTGAAAGTCAAAACACAGCACTGCACCAGCTACCAAGAAAGAGAAAAATGACTGCCACTGCTAAACCCAGGACAGAGTTCCTCAAGCAGACAGAGGAAAGTAATATGTCATTGCTGCATGGTGATCTGCTTGAGAAAGTAGTGGAGAGACACAGAGAGGTTTCACCACCAGGTAGGCACTGTGACTGTTCATCAGTGAAGTAAAACATCTATAAAGGATTCTAATGAAGTTTCCCATCAAAAAGCTTGAAGGCACATGAAAAGTCACAGGACTATGCTCGGACAGTAAATGCAGCCATAGATTCAGTTCAACAAAAGGTTGGGTCGTCCCATCAAACCATGACCTGCTTGGCCAAAAGAGGCCATGACTGCAGCTAGCAGGCTTGCCTGTCTGCATAGCTCTGCCCAGAGCCCATTCACTTGCTAGAATGGTTTCTGTCAAGCCTACAACTACTGAAAGAACTACGGATCTTGCTGTTCAAATGAACTCAAGTCCAGAAGTTGGGGGTGGGTACTTGGCCCTCTCCTGTCTAAGCAACCTTAGCCAACAGGTTGTGGTTAGGACTTGGCAGGTGCCAAAAATGGTTGAAAGAAAATGTGTGTGGATTTCTCCAAGGTGATGTGGAGGAGGCCCCTGGCAAGAGAGTTTGTTGCGTCGGGCTATGGACCAGGAGGGGAAGAAGGGACCTAGCACCTTGTAACCTTTGTGTGGCACCAGCTCACTTAACCTCCTCTCTGAATACCCAGCAGGCTACTGCAGAAGGATTGCAGCAGTCGTGGCTCTTGGAGAAGCAACTCCTGTCGCAGCAGCTGGAAAGTGCAGCAAGAAGTCACAAGGCTGAAACTTGCCAACACTGAGCTGAAGGAATTCAATGCTGAACTCAAGAAGACTCTTGAGGAGGTGAGACAGGCTTTCACTGCCCATGCTATGCCTCACAGTCTTCTGGAGCACACACGTCTCCACAGACAGCACTTTGGGGTCCTCTGCTTGTTCCCTTCCCTCTCCCGCTCTCCCCTTGGACACACCTTTTTGTGTTTTCCTTTCCTCATTTGCCTTCACAAATGCACATTCACTCCAGTACCACCCTTCTTGCCCTGCTGTCCCCATACACACACACACTGGACTCTCATGTGTCAGGAAGTGTTTCCTCTTGCTCTTTCTTGTCCGTAGCCTACACTACTGAGGGCTTTTTGCCCTCAGCATTTTCGCCCGAGAGGCCCTTTTGCTCCTTGTTTGGTGGCAGGTTTCTGTGACCCATTCTCCTCCCCAGTGTGCAGGTGGAATGTCAATGGAGGAAACTGATGAGGCTCCACCGTGATCAGTCGCTGCCAGGTGCAAGTGAATCTTCCCTCTCCAAGTCTCACCAGCACAAGATGCCTGCTTCTAGATGGGTGAGAACAGAGGCTTAGTTGGTGGGAGGAGGCTCTGACACATCCCAGGGGCAGCAGCCCCCCAGTATAGGCCTACTAGAAGTTGAATACAGACCTAGTATAAGTCAAATATAGACCATGGTCCTGGCCATACTGGAGACCAAAAAGAAATCCTTGCGTTTTCTTTACAGGAGGAGTCCTATGCACACTGCAGGCACCAATGACCTGACTTGCAGAACCAGGGGATGAGCCAGAAAGTTCTCACTTCCTGAGCAGCTGTAGCGCTGCACAGTTCCTGTCCTGTACCCTTCCCAGAACTGTCTTCTTTTACTGCTGTGGGACAGAGGGGTGGGTTTGTTCTCTTGCCATTCAGAAGTATGGGCAGGGACTCCTGACTTTCCTTTTTTGTTTCTTAATAAAAGACATTCTGCAGTTGTTCAGTATGGGGAAGCAAGTGGTCTTCCTTCCTGCCCTTTTTATAGAGGGGTGTCTCGCTGGCCAACCTCCAATCCTCTGGGACCTGTCCACTGGACCAGGACTGCTGACAGATGATGGAGAGTGGCTTGGCAAGCTCCTCTGCCAGCTCCTGTGGGCACTCCTGACCCACAGATTTGTGTACGTCTAAGAGGAGCAGGAGATCGCTAACCATTTCTTCCTGTGTTATGGGGACTTCAGTCAGCTCTTCACTGTCATCTGGCTCAGGGAAGCGAGTACCCCGAGGATGGCTGGTGTGACTATTAAAGCCTGAGGCAAAGGCAGCATTAACCACCACAGCCCTTCTCCCATCCTCAGTCACTAGGTTTCTCCTAGTATGCAACAGAGAATGGAGGTTCTCCTTGGCCCTCCTTTCATTGCTAATGTATCTGTAAAGGTACTTTTCATTAGCTTTTATGGCAGTGGCCAGATTTTGTTCCATCTGTGTTAGCGTAAGAACCGACACATGACCACCAGAATGGTTACGAGGTGCTTTTAGTGAGGCACCGGGAACCAGGGGTACGCACCCAAATCTAGTTCCGACCCTGTCACATCGTGTTCGCAATTTATGCATAAAAGTTTCGCAATTAATGCATATCGAACATGGGTTGCTATGTTAACTAATACATATGCATCAGGGATTACTTCATTAGGACATCAGCCTCCTCTGCGCTTGCTCAGCCCCCTCTGGTGGTGGTCCTGATGAAGTAAGGAGTCTTCCTCAGATGAAGTAAGAAGTCTTCCTCACCTTATGCTTTTCACCTGTCCGTTACTTGGACAAGCCCCAACCATTATGTGGATGCCAGCATTCTAACTTCCTCACTTGGCTGTTTCTATGTTGCAATGACTTCACAAAGCTATCAATATTGCAGAGATTACAAATTTGTCTGCTGCTTAAGATACATAGTCTCTGTTTCTAGACAGAGCTTCCTTTTAAGCAATACAAAGATTATGAGCATCTGTATTATCAAGACGCACAGTTCCTTGTTTTAAACCACAAAGTTTTAGGCCAGACATCCTGTGTTCTTTTGTGGTTATGTTAGTTTCTACTGCTAAGACTACCATTGTGATATTTTTGGTTATAGAGTAACAAAAATACAGAACAGCAAAGTTACAACATTTTTTTAATATACAGAAGTCTACTTTTGATTCGAAAACTTCTCAGATATAATCATTTCTATTATTTTATATAATCATTTCAACGTAAAATTTCACACATCTGTGCCTTCCTACTTTTCTCCCTATAGAACCTAACAACATCCCTGTGCTTCTCCTGGGGTGACAGTCCCTTCTTCCACAGGGGAGAGAGTCTCTTCTTCCCTGAGTTCCAGCAACATCTCCCTGTTGAGCCAGGCTGGTCTCTTTCCCACCGGTTGATTTGTGGCACATAGGGACCGCCTGCTCCTTGAGGCTTTCAGTCTTGAAGAGCATCCTACCTTCCTGGACCCTTTGTCCTTCAGTAATGTTTCCCAAGGTATTCTGCCAGCCAGCGCCCTGAACAGGCCAAGGTCATCCCTCTGGGAGTGTAAGGTGTTTGGAATTTTCTCCTTGTTTTTAATAGGAGACGTTCTGCACTTGCTCAGCTGGCAGAAGCAAGCAGTAGGGAAATACGTGGCTTGGGGAAAGGCTATGCTAGTTTTTTGCTTGCACAAGAAAGCCACTGCGATCTGCTGCACGCTTTAGCCTCTGGAGTTCCCAGCCATTCCCTGCGAGGAAGGAGGGAAACGGAGGCGTTATCAAAATGACGCGGGGAATGCGCACCCGGCAGCGATGCAAAGTGCAGCAAGAAAGTGGGGTTCTTCCTTCCCTCCCTCCGTCCCTGCCAGATCCAGCACATGGCGCACTGATGCTCTCCCGAGGGGATGTGCTTCAGCTCCGTGGCTGCTCGGGTGTTCTCCAAGGAGCGTTAGGAACGAGCCCCGCAGCCTCCAGAGGCGGCGGCGATGAAGGGGTGATGGGCGGGAGGGTGTAGCGTGAAAGCCGCTGGGCCTCGGCCCCTGGCCCTGGCCCACCGCCGGGACCCGGTGTCTCTCGGCTGCCTCTCAGAGGATCGGGCCCGTTGGCAGCAGGGCAGGAGGGGACGAAGCGGCAGCGCAACCCAGTCGTTCCCTTCCCGCCCCGGAGCAGCCGTGGAGACCCTGCCCGTCCCCGCCTTCTCCAGGCCGCGCTTCCCGTCGGGGCGGAGCCGGGGCGGTCCCGGCCCGGAAGGCGGGTTTGTTTCCGGGCCCTGCCATGGAGTCGCTGTGGCGGCTGAAGCGGTTCGATGCTTTCCCGAAGACCCTGGAAGACTTTCGGGTGAAGACCTGTGGCGGCGCGCTGGGTGAGCAGTGGGGGGCCGGTGAGCGGCGGGCCCGGGCCGAGGCGGGCGGCCCGTAGGGTGCGTGCGGGCAGTGTCGGGGCTGACGGCGCTTCTCGTCTCGCCGGCAGTGACGGTGGTCAGCGGGCTCATCATGGTGGTGCTCTTCTTCTCGGAGCTGCAGTACTACCTCACGAAGGAGGTGAGTAGCGGCGATTGGGTGCGGGCCTCCCGGCGGGGCTGCCCCTTGTCCGCGGTGTCCCGGCGGAGAGGCGGCCCTTTGGCTGCCGTTCCCCGCCGCCTCCTCCGGGCCTGCCTGGCAGCACCTTCACCCACCGCGGCTCTGCCTGGGGTTTCGCGTCCTCCCTCCCTCCCTCCCTGAGAGCTGCTGTCGCAGAGGTTGCCTTGTGGCCTCCTCTGATAAGTGTCTCAAAGCCTCTCCCGCTGCTTGCGCCGGCCACAGGCAGGGCAAAGAGAGCGAGCAGGACCCACCGTGCCCTCCAGCGCTGAGGTTCCCAAAGCAGGAGCTGTTGTAAGAGTCTCTGCAGTGGCAAGCACTTGGTTGGTGCAGGAGGCAGCAGCTCGTGTGTCTCTCAAATCCCACCTCTTAAACATCAGCTCATGGGCGAGAGTGGTGGAGGGAAGGAGGCCCTTTGATTTGCTGCCAAGTGGAACAGGTGTATTTTTCCTTTGCTCCTAGGTTCATCCAGAATTGTACGTGGACAAATCGAGGGGAGATAAACTGAAGATCAATCTCGATGTTATTTTTCCACATATGCCCTGTGCTTGTGAGTCAGACTTCTGAGTAGTGGGATGATTTTGCTCCTTGCTGGGAGGCCCAATATGCCTGGTGCTTCAGAGCACTGCGCTGCTGCTTGGGGCACGGGCAGGGAGGAACTGGTGATCCCTGTGGTTGCACTGTGATACCAGCCAGGCAGGACACTTAAAGCAGTGCTTCCAGTGAGGCAGTGCTATTTTTCTGGATTATAAATGAGGATAACATGCATAAATGCCCTTTACACTTGTGTATGGTGTTGCAATTGGTCACAGAGATCAGTAATACTGAAAAAGCTGTGACAGAGTTCACTTGGGACTCGGGATGTGGCTGCAGTGGTATTGGAAACCTCAAGGACCTCCTTTGCAACTTACTTAAGAGGGCAAAACTTTTATGTGATTTTTATACTTCTGGCTGTAATGCCCTGCTGCTTGTTCTCCTGTAGTAATTCCTTTGGGCAATGCACTGGTCTTGATGTAGTGAGTCTGACTTCCTTCTGACCAGCCAAGATATATTACTGGTTTTGCCTTCCTCACATCTGGGAGGCTGTTAGAAGGCAAGAGAGGCTGGAAGGCTCTGCTCTTTGTGCAGTGAAGCTGTCAGTCTGGCACATTCTTGTCCCCCTTGGTGAAATACTATCTTTTCACTGGTTGAATGGTTCCTCAGCCTGGTGCAGGCCATAACAAATGTGTGGTCATCAACTGCTTTCCTTGCTCGTTGGTTTCAGACCTGAGCATCGATGCCATGGACGTAGCAGGAGAGCAGCAGCTGGATGTAGAGCACAATCTGTTTAAGCAACGTTTGGATAAAGCTGGCAAGCGTGTGACTCCAGAGGCCGAGAGACACGGTGAGATGCTGTTCTGCCTTGCTTGGATGGGTGCTCTCGTAGTCTTCCCATCACTGTGTGCCTGTTTGGAGAACAGCTGACAGCTGAAGAGCATTTGAATACCTCAGAGTCTTGCAGAGTTTGTAGCATACCAGTCTATGAAAGTGGCCGATCAGACAAACTCTAGTTGTACTTGCTGCTTGTGCGAGGCAAATCTGTGCCTGGTCCCACTGAAATTACGACAAGGACTCGTGAATACATTTCAGCTCTTTTACAATGAGAAGTCCAGCAGCTGTTCTGGCAAACTGGGGCTGTGGTTGTGTCTTTTAAGTCGCAGTGGGCTGACAAATGGGATGACCTGGTTGGAGGACGGATCCTGTCTCCAGGGAAGGCTCCTGTGACTGGACACTTGAGCCTACACTTGCACCTTATTGCATTGTTCATGTTAGTGCACACGTGATAAATGTATTTTAGTTGGTTTATCAGTTAGAAGTTGTAATATGTGGTCCCTGGTTACAGAAAACTGTCGTCTGTGTTATTTGCATATTAGGACTCATCTTTGTCCTTCAATACAAACCAGACACAACAGTGGCCAGGTGTTGCCGTCTAACAGTAATACTGTCCAAGCGTTTCCTTTGCAAACATGAGCTCCTTTTGTGGGAGCTAGTGTGGTTCTGTGTAACAGCATAAGGTAAATTTGTTGATTTATGTCACTCAGTTGAGCAGGACAAGAGTACAAGATACCCTTTCTAGACCCGTGTCATCACTCTGAATCCTCTTTTGTCTTAGAGCTGGGGAAAGAAGAAGAAAAAGTGTTTGATCCAAATTCTTTGGATGCTGATCGCTGCGAGAGCTGTTACGGGGCAGAGTCAGAGGACATTCGGTAGGGTCTACACCTTTTTGTATCCTCCTAGCCCTTCATGCTATTATGTTGCATTTGTTTTCTTTTCTAAATGTCTGTGAAAGTCTATGGAATTAAATCGTCTTGGGCATGTGTTCAGAGAATGGTGAGAATTGTTGTGGCTTTTGTTATGCCTTTGGAAGATGCACTCCTCCTTGTGAAGAGCATGCAGAGTTATGTTGTCTAATTCTTCTACATGCCTGTTTAAGGGCAATGCAAGCTGCGCAGGTTTTGCAGTAGCATAAGGCTTATATCTCAGCAAACTGTATCTTCTGGAGTTATTTTGTCTCCAGACGGTAGAACCAAGTAAGAAACCTGTTTTTTACTGTGACTGCGGTGTTATCCAGTGGTAGAAAGGTAATGAAGAAAGTTTGCCATTAACCTTTCTGCCCATTTTGACAGTGTTAGCCTAAAAAAGAGAGCAAAGGAGGAGTAGAAGCAGACAGATGCTTTTTTCACACGGGGAAGTGCAAACTGCTGAGAGCCGTGGGACACTGATGTTGGTTTTTTAGCACATTTCTTTGTCAAGGAGTGACTTGGCTGTCTCACTGGACAGGCAAAGCCCTCTTCAGACTCAAGCACTGCATTAAACCAGCTTGCATCCTCATGCCAACATCTCAGTACATCAAGAAGCTCGAGATCCT